ATGATGTACCATAGCGATACCGTACCAAAACGAGCCAAGCCAAGGTTATGATGTAGCATTGATCATTTACTTTTGTTAACAGGGAAATATGCGATCTATGAATGGAAATTTGGGAAAGATAAAAAAAGAAATAATTATGGAATAATAATTCAATCTTTATTTGCATGTTCATGCCCATGGGGCTAAATTCATACATCAGAATGTTATGTAACATGTACATCATACTAAGTAATATGATACATAGAATAGAAGGATAACATTTAATACTTGTAGATGATTATAAATTCTTTTGCCAATGGCTTTTACAAAATGGTATTACAATTTGTATAGAGCATATGTTAAGCATATATTCAACTTCATTAGCTCTAAATGAAATCTTACTGATAGTTATCAAGCAAAAAAAAATCAACTCTTATTTCAAAACTTGATATTATTGTCCCTGCTGATGTATGACAGTATGCAATGTACTGATCAACAACAAATTGTATGGATGCAGAGCTAGAATATTGATGTATGACAGTCAAATATATATTACACTGCGAGTGATACATGTTCTCCTCAAAAACCTGTAGGAATACGGGCTGTTAATTTGGTAACTTTCCAGGGGGTAAATTTATTTTGGGGGTATATTCTTTAGGTTTTGAAGATTTGTTGGGGGAATCATATTCAAGGATGTATGTTTATTGAGGACCTGTCAATAATTGCGTAAGTGACAAGGACATATAGACGCATATATATATATATATATATATACACCATGAGAACACATTTTTGGAGCATAGTCGTTGCTTACATGTCAATTTTAAAATTTCCCGGGGGGTACTTTTATTCCAGGGGGTACTTTTATTCGAGAGGTGAGAGTAGGTAAATGATATTTCGTTATAACAGGTTTCTGGCAGGCATTTTTGGAGAAATCCAGTAATTTCAGAAATTAACTTTGCAGGCGTTATTGTATGGTTTTAAGTTACGAATTGTTTTTATCATTATTAACATATAGGTTTAGGCAATTTTGGACAAAATCTAAAAAAAATCTATGCTAATTGAGGACGTCATTTGTCCAAATTTGTGGGTGTGGGTCAGTTGGGTGAGGGTGTGGGTGCCCGTGTGCGTCTGTCTGTGTACATGTGTGTGTGTGTGCTTCCTCAACTTTGTGGTCAGCATAACTTAACCCTATCTAGACCGGGGGGGGGGGGGCTAAAAGTGCCCGCGCCAACTTTGATGTCACATAGCGTCTGAATGGCTATGGCTAGAACGACTAAACTTGGTGACTTTTCCTAAAATATTGTTGGCAACAATGTTCTATAACTGGAATAAGATAGTAATTTTTTGTGTTGCCATGGCAACGGGTTTCCGACAGGCATTATTTGCTAAATTTAGTAATTTTTGTTTCAGCAATAGAATTTTATGGGTTTTATGTCAAGTTACTCATGGTTTCTAATATCAATAACATCCCATATGAATTTATGTAAATTTTATCATTAAATATGCATAATTTATGCTAATTTGATGACGTCATTGGCCAAAATCCAAGATGGCGGACCATATCATTACAACAGGTATATACAAGTTAATTTCCTTAAAATTTCATCAATACTTCCATTTCTTTTTCCAAAAAAGGTTTAAATGAAGGTCTTTAGTATATTAACAATGTATTTTAGGCTTTATCACGAAAAAAAAATATTTTTGAAAATTCAAGATTAATGATCCAAGATGGCGGATATCTTAAATATATATGACGTCATTTTCTGACGTCACCGGTGTTGCTATGGGCAACATAAGACTTATAATATTCTGTCATAATCACTCTTGGTAAAGTTATGTTGTATACCATTTAGTTTTCGGGGAATAGCCTATCTAGACGGTTTTGGCCAATAAAATCACATTAATGACGTCATAATGACGTCATATTACGTCATAATGAAAAAAAATTGTAGATATGATAAATTTTAACTAGTACACCATCCTCTAAAAATTTGGTAGTAATACGACATACCGTTAAGCGACGGTCACAACTCGCCGTGCGTGCTTTTTGTCCGTACGTTTTTGTCGTGGCTACGTCTGCTACGTTTTTTCTGCAAACGTAGGGTGGCCGGCCGAGGGAGTACGTCACTCGCAAGGTGTACGTACGTGGTCTGCACGACACGCCTGGCCGTCAGCGGTTGCGTGCATCGTACGTTGCGCAAGTGGTAAGTGAGTTGTACGTGCTTACAACGCACGATCTCTGTGCGATTGCTACGTTGCCGCGTACAGGCCGTACCTACACGTGCGGCGTACGCACGGTTTCCTTACTCACTCGCACGTTGTAAGTGCGTGCACCTCCTGTTAACTTCATCATTACTAGCCGCCCTGGTGTCTTCCGCGGCCCGTTTCTTTGGGTCTTGTCTGGTAGTCTTCTTCTGAGCCTTCCTGGGCATCTTGGAGACGAGTTGGCAGCCGCCCGTCAAGTTGTCTTTATATACTGTAGAGATCAGGTGCGTTGCACGTACGTTGCACGTGCGTTGCACGTGCGGAGCACCTGGTATGGTGCACGTGTGTTCTGCGTGGTCATTGAGCAGGTCAACTGGGAAGTGAGGAGTAAGCACGGATGACGCAAGCACCGTGCGTGGCACGCACGTGCTTCGTGCGCTGTCCGTACAGCAATTGCACGTGAGAATAGTGAAGTTAGACTCACGGAGTCCGTACGTTGCACGCTCATAGGCTGTACGGGGCACGCGCGTCGCACGTACTCGCACGCACGGGTGGTAAATCCGCAGACCGCACGTAGAAAAAGTATTACATGCACTTAAAGTTCTACGGCGTGTCTGCGTGCTCCCAAATCCGTAGGATTCCGTACGGAGGTGGTACTCCCCACGCACGGATGCCGTACGATTGCCCACGTTTTTGCACGTAGACAGCACGCAGAAGCACGTACGGCGAGTTGTGACCGTCGCTTTAGCGAGTTCTGGGGGAGCGCCCCCCCCCCCCGGTCAAATCTTGCTCAAAAAAGCCCGGTCTAGATAGGGTTAAGAAAGCTTTTTTGGGGTTGTGATGTTTGGTCTGTTGGTAGGTCTTATGAAGACAAAGGTCATCGTCAAATATGGGCCTCCTGGTGGATGACCTTGGTACTGCAGCAGAACTTCGCCAGTTTTTGGATCTTTTGTCTTTGGTCTTGATTTTTTGACAGATAGCTTAAAGTTTTGCTGTCAGGAATAAGTGGTGTGGGTTTTGTCTCCATAGCAGCCTGTTCTGGAACTGCAGGGAAGTTTCTGTCGAAATCTTTTAAAGCAGATATATATAAGTCTAGAAAGGAACAATGTATTTTCATCATTTTTGTATATATGTAGCTAAGTCAAAGATGTATGTAATTTAATTGCATTTTTTGTAAATGGAGGCTTATTTTGTATGATTTTAGAGGGAATTCTATAATTGGTGGAATATCATGCAAATGATGACCTAATCTGCATAATTAGTATAAAACTTTTGCGAGTCCTTATTGGTGAATGATGGGAATTTTATACCTTGTCACATGTGTAAGTTACGTAAAGGTTAACATCAAGATGAGTATATTATTTTAATATGGGGACCATTTGCATAATCAATGAGGGAATGTTGAAATAAAATATTGCCAAATGATAGGAATTTCACACGCTCGACTAATCAATCCACAGCATGCAGCTTGATCAATTTTAACATGATGTTGGTTTAATTAACTCATTTTCATTATAATCATGTTTTTTTTCATACAACCATTAGGCCACAAGTCACCCGGAGGAGGTGGTGAGTTGCAGTAGATCAATATCGATTCGCCTTTTTTTAATAAAAAAAACTATTATTAGTCTTGTTTTTTAACTCTAATTTTAACCATATCGCATTGATTTTAAAACTACTGGAACTTGAGTAATAAACAGAAATAAGAAACAGTAGATTTCAACTTTAACTGATATATTTGGTCTCAAGTAACGTTCTGTTTATCATTGCCTCTCCTCATTGCTAGACCACGGCCGCGGATAATACCATACAGGGCACCTACGTGAGTTGAAGCACAAAATAATCATATTGAATATTTAAGGGTATTTAGGCCTATTATCTGATATTCCGGTTAAAGCACGTAAATAACAAAAAGACAAGACAGTTTAAAGGATAGATAGGGAAGTTATAAGGATACAGCCGCTGGGAGGAGAAATGGAAACAGAGTCAATATAGAGTCATATGGGTAGTATAATCATTCCAATGAGGAAACAGACTATATGATAATACAATAATACGGGTTTTATTTGAAACATAAAATAGTAGTAACTGTCAGGAACAGAAATACTGTACAAGTGTACATAATACCGGCTCTTATTGTAGCTATATCTTCCCGCTAACTTTAGATCACAAAGCACACGCATAAATATATGCAATATCATTATACACTTTCAAGCATGGGTCCAAAAATAATCTATGCAATAATGTTGATATAAAACAGATTTTCCTGTTCAGTCTTAAGGACACAATACAACTATGCTTATCACATTTCTCTTGAAATATATTCATTTTTCATTTCTTTTCCATGTACAGCCCGTGATATTCGAACCAGCACCAGTATTGGTGAGTGAAAACATGCAGAAACGATATGAATGTTTTGGAGTAAAGTTAATGATTTTTTTACCACAACAATATGATTTTTCATAAATTAAATGTAATGTCTATTTGTATCTCAGGAAATGAGCAACTTGCTCTATCCGTATGGAGAATCTACGGGGGATACATTCAACGAAAGAAATGATGATGAAGGGTCTGCCAGGATACCCATTTCAGTATCGCTGCCATTTTTTGATCACTTGCACGATTCTCTTATGGTAACTAAACGCATCTCATATGCATTTCTGTTTACTAATAAGACGTTTACTTCCGATATAGTAATATTTAACTGCTGTTTTTTTTGTCAGTAAGTATTTAAAGGAAACTTGGTGTACACTGCTTGTATTTGTAAAACGTTATCACTTTGCAGATACAATTAGGCATTAATTAGTACAGACATGATTCCAACACAAGCAATTGGAGAGCAATTAGACACTGTCGCCTTCATCAGGATAAGTAATGACCACATTCCTGACATCAAGTATCCGTGAAGTGTTGATCGAGTGAATAAGGCCACGTGTCCAACTTTCGCAGGTTACTTTCCAAAGTGATTGGTCATTAATGATCCTGATGAAGTGAAAACGACAGTGGTCATTGACAATTTAATACCCTTTTGTTGGAATAAAGTTTAGTATAGAACTTGATTGCTGCCAACATAAATGAACATTTGTATGTTCTAGTCTTATTGCGCATGGCAAGTGGAGAAATTGTTAGCTTGAAGTTTATACATCTATTTGTCTACATCATTAAATAACAACACAATCATTGTGCATTTATAGGTAAACACCAATGGGGTGATATCATTTCTAGTGCAAATATGGCAGTACACCTCTGAACCATTCCCGCTAGGAGACAGCAGGCGGTTGATAGCTCCCTACTGGGCTGATGTTGACACAAGAAAAGGTGGCTATGTGATGTACCGCGAGACTACTGAAAGCGATATTCTGCAGCGCGCCACTCTTGATATTACCGCTGCCTTCCCACACCTACCTTATTTCCGTGCTACATGGGTCTTCATCGCGACATGGCACAATGTAGCTTACTATGGAAGCAGAAGCAGCAAGGTATGACCAAGCAAATACTAAGTAGTAGATGCATTTGTTGCCTTCGCCATGTTTTAGGTAAACTTTGGCCATGGTGGCAAAGAAAACTTTAGTAAACTGAATGTATAACATTGCATAGTTCATTGCCTTCGACAGAAGAGAATGTTTTTGGTTCGGGCTTGGTGTGCGCCCGTACGTAGGTCAAACTCGAAATCTGTGAATGTATCTTAGTGATATTTGGTAGGTGGGTAGTGGTCTACAAAGAGATGTGTATTTTTTATTTGTGTGTGGACAACAAAACTCACAGAAACGCGGGTGGTCGTTACTAAAATCTAGTGGATGGGCCTCCTAGCGGATACCTACGTTTCTGCAGCTGAGCTTCAAAGCTTGAAGTCAAAATTTCTGGAAGTGTCAGATTAATGATTTTTGACTAGTAGAAAGCTCTAGTGGCCGGCAGTGGCTGGACATTTGTTTAAAAAGAGGGATAAATAGAAAACCGCGAGCAGATATTTTTAAGTAAATGGGGACCTGATTTGCATAATTAAGGGAAAATGCTATATTTGTACAGTGGTTACTGCCAGGAATTTCATACTTGCAGCATTTGAAAGATAAGTAAGGGTTGACATAACTTATTCACATCAAGACCTCATTTGCATAATTTATGCAAGGAGGAAATTGCATAATAGATTTCTTTGCTAACATAAAACTCTGTGACCCTCACTCTGACATTGGATGGAGAATAAATGCAACTGATAAAAACAACAAATTTGGCAAAGGCATGTGTTCGTGGGAATGTCATTGGATGTTATTTAGGATTAAATGAAATGAAATGACATAACTTGTTAATGGGAATTTTAGCTGTATGATCAACTAGAAACATATAGATGTCATGTTGTACATGTAAATATCATTTGGCGAAGTTATGTGATTGAAGAACTCTAGTTTTAAAAAAATTTATATTCTGGTATACGCTACTTATTAACAAATGGCTATTTTGTTATTTCCAATATCATAATTGAAAGGAGAGGATATTCTTGTATGCTAAAGATGAGATGTCTATACAAAGATTATATAGCTATACATGATTTCCATCATGAATTTTATTAAATAGCTTTAATGTTTTCCACTTGCAGAGAAATACCTTTCAGGCAGTTCTTGTTTCCAACGGAAGGCACAGCTTTGCCATCTTTAACTATGGTGACATAACATGGACGACTGGTACAGCTAGTGATGGGGACGCAGAGACAGGCTTAGGAGGAACACCAGCGAAGGTAAAGAGATTAAGAACATGCGTACAAAGCGTTATGATTTGATTGTGAAGGGTAAAGAGGTCTAATTCACTTTATCTTTTTCATTCCATCTTTATTTTCATCAAAGAAACAATAATACATAGCTAAGGAAAGGACGAAAACAGCATGGCGGCCTACTCAAGTTGTGCACAAGTTATACTCTTTGTATTCATTGTATGTATTGACGCTCATTGTCCCTGTATTGTTTTCTTTTTTACAACAAGGTTGGATTCAATGCGGGTGATGGTATCAGGTTCTTCTGCACCAATTCATCGCAAACCGATGATATAGTCAACGTTGAAACAACATCAAATGTCAACATGCCAGGCCGCTGGGTGTTCCGTATCGACAGCACTGTCATCCAAAATGGCGGATGCAATACTGATGGTTAGTACTTGAAATCTTATAGCTTTATAGCTAAAAAACAGGATGGATTTTAAACAGCTACTAAGGCAAAGACTTGACTATTAGCCTCTATTGTGTTAAGAAACAAACCCCATCCGTAAGCATTTAATGCTTTATAACCAGCAAATACAAATTGCACACCAAAATTTATCAGTAAGCCGAATTACTAAAATAAGATTTTTGGCTGGTACGGTTGACGTTTGAATTATGGCAAATATATTTCATCTTATTTTGAAATAGAATCTGCAAGTGAATATGCCGTGGTACAGTGTACGTTTATCTATACATTTTGTATTACTCTTGTTTGTCTTGAAAATAAAACTTCTTTTGTATCACTAACTCAGGACCAAACACCATATCCCCATTCTTTGGTACTATGCTGGGTGGAGCACGAGTGTCCATATCCGGGCCCTGCTTTCCAGGCGACAACATTTGGTGCAAGTTTGGGGATAACGATCCGGTTCGTATGCGTCTTATACGGTGCCGTAAAACGACATTCTTTCTGTGTGTGTGTGAGTGTGTGTGTGTGTGTGTGTGTGTTTGTGTGTGTGTTAATGTGTGTGTAGGTGTGTTTTGTGTGTCTGTGTTTGTGTGTTTGTGTATGTGTTTCTGTGTGTGTTTGTGTGTGTGTGTGTGCGTGTGCGTGTGTTTGTGTGTGTGTGTTTGTGTGTGTGTTAATGTGTGTGTAGGTGTGTTTTGTGTGTCTGTGTTTGTGTGTTTGTGTATGTGTTTCTGTGTGTGTTTGTGTGTGTGTGTGTGCGTGTGCGTGTGTTTGTGTGTGTGTATGTGTGTCTGTGCTTGTTTGTGTGTGTGTGTGTGTTTGTGTGTGTATATGTGTGTGTGTGTGTGTGTTTGTGTGTGTGTGTGTGTGTCTGTGTTTTGTGTGTCTGTGTTTGTTTGTTTGTGTGTGTGTGTGTATTTATGTGTGTGTATGTGTGTGTTTAAGTGTGTTTAATTGTGTTCGAGGTTACAGAGTAGGAGTGTTGCACCTACCCCAGGACTGGGAAATTGGTACATTTCGACCCTCGCACCGCGTCAAGACGGAAACAACATGTGTGTTTTGTGTGTATGTGTTTGTATGTGTGTGTATGTGAGTGGGTGTGTTTGTGTGTGTATAGGTGTGTTTTGTGTGTCTGCGCTTGTTTGTGTGTGTGTTTGTGTTTGTGTGTGTTTGTGTGTGTGTGTTTGTGTGTGTGTATGTGTTTGTGTGTCTGTGTTCTTTTTGTGTGTGTGCAAGTATGTAAACACATACACATGTGTTTACATACTTGCTGTTAGCATAACAAAGAAGGCCTTTATTGATTGTAATGACATTTGCTATATTGGTAGGACTTTTAAATGTCAAATATTGGCCTCCTAGTGGCTGTCCCTGGTACCGCAGCAGAACTTTTGACATGGGCATGTTGCGGTCTTGATTGGGTTTTTTTCGGGGGGGGGGGGCTTTTCATGTCATGGACACGTGGTGTGGGTTTGTTCCCCCTAGCAACTTGTTCTGGAACGACAGGGGAGTTTCCAGCAAAACGTTTAATAGCGGTTAAGTCACGAAAGAAACGAAGAAAAATCAAAAGAAATTACAAAGGCTCTAAACATTTCCATTTAGGTATGAGATCTCCAAATTCTTGTTTCTTTATTATTCCTATCATCAGGTCCCAGGGTGGTTGGACAGCAACACCACAGCAGTCTGCATTTCGCCATTTCTGTCTACAACTGGGAGAATCCCATTCCTACTCTCCATGGATGATGGGGAAACATACGAACATGAAGCCGTGTACACATCAGGTGGGTATAGGTAGTGCCTTTTTGCTAATTACCTCCATGAAAAATGCAGGTATTGTCTGTCTGTCTGTCTGTCTCTCTCTCTCTCTCTCTCTGTGTGTGTGTGTGTGTGTTTGTTTACGCGCATTTGTAGTCAGAACGCCTTTATGGATTGTGATGATATTTATATGTTGGTAGGTCGTAGGAAGGCAAAGGTCAAGGTCAAATATAGACCTCCTGCTATGGTGGCTGACCTTGGTGCTGCAGTAGATTTTTTTTATCTTTTGTCCTGAAGATGCTATGGTCTTGATTTATTTGCGTTTTTCATTGGCGAATACACAATTTTATTCTACTGTGACTAATTTTCAGTTGATCCAGAGCGACTTGTGGCAGACTTACAAGTCACAGAAAACATTGATGGGACTATGACTATCGAATGGCGTCCTGATAGTGTTGATGGCAATACATTAAATGTGCATTTAAATGGATTTGATGAAACAACTGGGACCTGGAACACCGTTGCCCAGCTGGCCAGTGGTATTGCCAACACGGGCAGTTACACAGTTGCCACTGCAGATGGGTGGATACCAGTTGCTGTTGTAAAAACTGGCGCTTTTTCTGTAGCTGCTGAATATGGACAGACTAGGTAAAATCTACAACATGCACTTCAGATGTAAAGAAATTTGTGGGTATTAACACGAGGTTGAGGTATCGTCTTTACAGCTAAATTTTTTGATGGATGTACCTGCACATTGCCTTTTATATCATGCATGTATTTCTATCTGATGAATTCTTTTATTCCTATACATCGTAACATTCAGGGTGCTGTATGGAACGATTGGGACTTTCCTGGCAGTAGGAACTACAGCAACAACTTTGTGCCAATCATGGTACAATGAAGATAGTCAGCTTCCCGACTTTCTTGAAGAACTGTCCAGGGATTTCCCGTGCCCGCGCACTTTAAACCAAGCTCTGGGGGATACGGGGTCTTTTCAAGCAGACCCAGCCTGTTTCTCCGAGTCATCAAGCTCAGCAAACTGCTACTACCACCCAGAAGCTCACCATTGTGTTCGGTCTATCGGCCAAACGTATGTTTCTCGTATTGTTTATCAAAAGTAATAGAATGGGCCAGATATCATGATACATATTTTATAATAAATATTAAACTAGGTATTTTTCGAAAGCCTAAGAAGGCTTAAAAATGAATATTCTAAAAAAATCACAGCATCTACGATTTAAGTTTAACACTCAATTAACCTTCAATTGAAATTGTAGACTCATGATTTAACCATAGACCTCAACCTCCTTATTGTTTTAAGGTCTCAGGGCGCTGGTCAGCAATGTTGCTACACAGCGGACGGTAGCTTGCTGCAGGATGGGCCCGGAAGAGGAACACCGGACAGGGTACACACGTCGTCCACTCTTCGGTGAGATCATGCAGAATTTCTTAACACATTCATTTCTCATACAATTTTTTTCATACATTTCGCAATAGTTTTGAGCTTAGCAAACATCTTTTTTATTGGCATTTCTTCACTAAGTTAATATATCAAACTGGTAGTTTTTCTTAATGAAACATTATTGTTTCTGTTTAAAACTCCACCAGTCACTTTGGGGCTGACGTCTACCCATGGATCGTTTGCTGCAAACTGTCAAGAAACTGCAACCTGTACTTTGAACTAAGACCAGCCAACGATGGAACTGGCTACGTATTTCCATGGCCAGGTATTCTTATTAGATTATAATTAGGAATTATTTATTGACCTCCATTAGGGCGTCATATTAATGTGAGCTTCGCACTTTATTTTTGTTTTCATTTATTTATAGATTATACCTTAAACTAAAAATCGCTTTTGTGATTTCATGAATCTGCCCCCCACCTCATCCATCCATTGACCTACATATATGTATTTCTTGACCTATCCATTCCACTATCTACTATAAATACTATGAACTTCAATGTCCTTGCAGCATGGACATTTGGTGATCCCCACTTCATCACTCTTGATGGCGTTTCGTACACCTTCAATGGAGCTGGAGAATTCCTGTTGCTCGATGTAAATAACGGACAATTCCGTGTACAAGGCCGGATGGAACAGCTAGTGGACGATGGTGGTAAGGATCTATAATTTTATTCAATCATGACCCACTTATATATATGATAAACCGGTTAACATGTGGTAAAGGTGGTTTTAGGTTGGTAGGTACGTAGCATGGCAAGGTTGTCTCGTGTTTAGGGTATAGGATTGTCATGATCAAAACGGTTTTATTTGTGTTTTGTCTCACTACAGCACCAATCATTTTTAAACTAATTTTATTGAACACTACCGTAACGAAAGGAGAGTTTTTGCTAGGCTTTTGAGGCATAGGAATATAGAAAGAGGCTTATATAATTTTATTATGAAACTGATTTTGCCTTAAAGGTTCCGCTGTGAGTGCCACGATCCTCACCGCCTTAGTAATGAAGGAGAATTCATCGGAAACTGTGCAGGTACAGCTGAGTGAAGTACGCACTATGGACGTCCTTGTTGATGGCCAGCTGAAGGACTTCCAGGAACTAACAGTACAAGAATTTAATGGTATTGTGCATTAATTAATGCGTTTGTATTACGTATTATACCAACATATCAACCAAATGCACAATGTCATGTAGCAGCCAGCGTATGTATAGGCATTGTTGGTATTGTTTATATACTAGATATCAGCAACATTCCGAGTAAATGGCGATGTGATGTTTGGCTTATAGGGATTAAAAACAAACATTTACTTGTTTGATACTTTCAACAAGGATACGCTTGGTTATACCATGGCGGATTAACTGTAATCTTTATATATGTCAACAACATAACTCGAGTAGCTGTGGTGGATCTTAACTATATTTAGTACGTGAGTATGGGTTGTGATGAAGGCCAAGCTTGAAAATGGTTTACGTAGCGTTTTTCAGTGATTTATACACATGAGGATGTTATTTGCATACTCAACGAGAAACATTTGTGATTCGTCAGTTGTAAAGGTTTATATGATATTGCGAAGTTATAAGCTCGGGGAACTCTAATTCCAGGATCATATTGTGCTTACTTAGGTTTTGTGGTGACTGTGGAGACTGCTACTGAAGCTTCAATCTCCTTTAACTCCGGCATCGGGGTGGCAGTTCGCGCAGTGGAGGACATGCTGTCCATAGCCGTAACTCTGCCACGCTTCGCGAGAGGCAACACAGTCGGGCTGTTAGGGAAGTGGAACGGAGACCCTGCGGATGACCTGACCACGCCAGATGGTGCTGTTGTTTCCGCCAATAGCAGCACGCAGGACATCCACTACCAGTTCGGATTACCTTGTAGGCTTGCGTTTTATTGTGCTTTCGTTTCCTCAAAATGCAAAGGGTCATCTTTTTCTCACGTGATCTAGAAAGATGTCCAGATCCATGTGGATTTTGTACTCACCTAGAAATACTAACAGTAACCTTTTATGTTTTACGTGGTGGTGTATGTGGCAATTTCTAAGGATATCTCTAACAGAACTAAATACATATTTGCATATCAGTATATATAGTGCAAAAAAGAACGTAGTGTGCTAGTACAGATATTTTGTATAATAGTTTTATATAATCGTATTTATTATATTAAGTTGATTTTACTTGGCTATTTTTTCAATGTTGCCTTTGATGTTTACCGTTCGGATTGCAAGATAACTATTTTTGTCTTGCTTGACAAATCATTGTTCATTTTTATTGTGTCTCATTCAGGGATGATTGCTGAAGAGGACTCCCTTTTTACCTATGGACCGGGAGTAAGCTACAGCAGTGTTACTGACGAAGGATTTACTCCCACATTTGAATTACCGTCAGTTGATCCAGAGTTTCAGGTACATATCAACCATCGTATGAAGTGTTATTCTATTTGTTAAAAAATGGTCGTTTCAAAGTTTCAATGCAAACTGCATATTTTTAGTTTGGAAACTTTTGGAAAAAAGACCACACCTATAAAGTTTCTTTGCATGCAATATGGTTATCATTATCACCAAAGTTAATATTGTTTTTCTCTCCATGTTTTTGAGGGGGGGGGGTAGTTTCCCGATGTGCTCTTCGTGATCATAAATTTATTTTCGTATGTGAGAAAACTACGATTTGTTGTTAGCAAACTAAAGAAAATCAACACAATGCTTTTACAAAGTTTTTTTGTTGTTGCTCGACCTATTGTTCCGGTAGGCTGCTGCTGAAGATGCTTGTGGTAGTGACAACCAGGCCTGTCTGTTTGATGTTCTGACAACAAGAAGGTTATCGGTAGCAAATGTGTCCATCCGAGCTATCGAAGAGTACACAGAACAAGTGGAAGGTGAGTCGAGAGAAGGAGAAAGAGAGAAACAGAAAATACAGAGAAGAAGAAGAAGAGAGAGAGAGCGTTCAGATGAAAACTGATGAGTCAGATGAACATGGACCAGCAATACAATCTAAAGTCAACAAGATTTTTTTACAGTGATATCAATTCATATATAGCTAAGTATAGTTTTTAAGCTAACAAGATACATGGTTAACACTGTCCTACTTTTCTGTGGAGAATCATGATAAGATCCATTATGAGACATTTTGCGCCCCACATTCAAACTATTCTTGACAAGAAAACCCTTTGTTGGCTCTAGGACTTAAGCTGGCGGTGTCCTTGCCAATGCAATAAAATGACATGATGAAGACACCCAATCCAAACTATCTATTCTCTCTCTCATTCCATGGAATTTTCTCTCTTATGGAGGAATCCCTCCCTTGCCGGCTACAGATATGCAATAATCAAGATAATGATGAATTGTGTGTTGACATATTTCAGAATTGTTAACCTGTGATGTACTGGACCCTCCTGATGTCGCTGGTACCCTGGTCATCTCTAACTACTCTGTCGGTTCGGTTGCTACCTTCCAATGTGAATACGGGGTACTCGCCACGCCCTGGGAACGGGTCTGCCAATCAGATGGAAGTTGGAGTGATGCCCCTCCTCCTGGCTGTGGTAAGAAATAAAGTCTTACGATCTATCATTGGTAAAGAACATTTATTCGGATGGAATTACTTGGTAGAGGGTTGGGTACAATGATGAAACAAAATTAGAAGTAACCATCTGTGTCACATCTTGCGTAACTATTAATCATATAGATTAGATAGGTTTTATATTTCAAATATTTTTTGTAATCCGAAGTCTTCTTAGAAATAATCTACAGCGATAACTTCTTAGAGGTAACAAAAGAAATTAAAAAGCAACTCTGTGACGTATAATATTATATAATGTAATGATAGCGGCTAAATTATTTACAATCCCATTTTATCAATATTTTGTCTTAAATCTAATTTTACCTGTTACAAAATACGTTTGTCTGAATACAGCATTTCTTGAAATATTGCAGATTTAAGTACGAACATTTTACTTTCAGTGTTTCCAGATGGAGGGTGTTCTGTGCTCCACCCAGACTTCCCTATTGATACCTTTGCCATCTACGACAACCGCTGTCACTGGTTCTCTAGGGACATCGACAAAACGGACTACGCGACTGCAGAACAGTTCTGTGAGTCTCGCGGGGGCAGACTGGTCACAATAAAGAACTCTGCCAAGCAGCAATGGATTGAAAACTACATTACCAGGTTTGCCTGCAACATTTCTTAGACGGTATTGATCCTATCGTGACATACATGTATGCATTGGAAAGTAAGTGTGCAATGCGTGACAAAAGACTTTTCATTACTTTAGTGATAAAGGAGATGAGTTTTAGATCTGGATACAGTAATTTTCTTTTACACAATTAATTCTCTCACATGATTGTGCTGACGTTTTGGTGTTTATCAGATATCTTTCTCAGATCTTCTGACTGGAGTTCTGCTTCGAATTCTCGCCGCTATATGCGGTTTTGCGGCTAGAACACAATACATATAAAATACAACACGGGGTATTCCGTATCGCCCGAGGTATCGGCCCGACCGCGGGTCGGATCGCCCGACGGCCGCAGGCCGCAGGCCGGAGGGCGATCCGACTCGCGGGAGGGCCGGGACCAGGGCGATGCGGAATACACCGTGTTGTATTTTATTTATATCATACCCACCCAAGAAAACGTGCCTTTCAATGCAAGATGAGCCAAAAGTTGGTGCCACTGAACCCTAAACTGTAACAACATCAATTCCAACGTCCGGATTCTGTATTCAAATTTTCGAAAGGGACACACGCGGTTTAGGGCGGAACGCGTTCGAATCGTTTTATGGA